TTAAATATATCCAAAAATTAAGAAACATTATTTGTATCAAAAAAATGAATTCCAACTATTAAATTTCGATTTAAAGTTAAAAATATCAAGTAAAGTATATTCACTTATAATCAAGAAATATTCAAAATATAAACATGACATAAAAGTATGTAAAAATCACACCTTAAGCATGTATTTGATACAATTATTCTAAAGTATGGTTTACTTAATTTTTCATTAAATATGTATCATTTAGCACCAACTAATGCATCAAATATGCTAATTATTTGTAATTGATCACATAAAAGTGACTTGTTATTACTTTTCAAGATGAAGGGACTCAATGAAACGAAGGATATAGGTCAGATGGTGGAGAAGAAAAATACAACTCTTAGAAGTGCAGGGGAGCCAAAGAACTATAAGGTGGGAAAAGAACTTCCATTTGGGTAAGCCTATGTACAAAATTGTAATATTGAAAAGTACAAAAATTAGTTCAAGGACTGTTAATGATAGGGAGAGATTGACTCCCACAGATTTGATGAAATTGTAAATGACACGAAACTGTTATACAAATATTGATTGAAAATTTAAACTTCTTAGATAATTAACTAATGATTGTAATATTGAAGTAACTAGAAATGAGGAATCAATAGAATCAACAATCAATCTTGTTGATAATATTACTATTTCTCTATGAAGTTATGATAGTAATATATCCACAAACTTAATGTCTTTTCAAAATAAAATTAAGATCATTAAATTCAGATTAGTACATTTAGATGATGATAAAGAATAAATAGCTCTTTTATTTAAGACAAAATAAGTTGCTCAAGAAGAAGAAAGACAATAAAATTAGGAAAAGGATAAAAAAACATTTTAAAAAATCTGATGATTTTTTCTTTGATTGTAGGAAATCAAGTCATTTCAAGGTTGGTTGTCCTCTAAAAAAACGAAAATGAAGGACAAAAGGAAAACCATGATCGCGATGAAGTGAAAGTGATGTAGATGAAGAAATCAAATCTAGTATTGATGAATAAAATATTTTCCTAATGGCAAAATCGTTGAGGTATATGATCCTTACATCTCTTCTTTACTTAGAGCGGAATTACTTGAAGATTTTGGTGAATTTTCATCTGCATTTAAACCTTTTAGATATGAGCTTAAAGTCGCACCAAGAGAAACTTACACACTTTAGGAATGCATTTAAAATGTGAAAAATTAAGCAATAAAAAAAGTTATTTGAATAATTAGAAGAGTAAAATGAGAATCTAAGGAATATTCTTGATAGATAGGACAAAGAACATGAATAGAGACTCCTTGGATGACCATTCTTGGCTACATTCAATGAACTTCAACATGATATTGATTCATTGATAGAAGAAAATTTATTGAATCTAAATTCAAAAATATTGAAAACTTTAGGGACAAAAGATTGAGAGGCTATTTATCTTATCAAGCCATAACTTGTACTATTCGTGAGAGTATATCTCTTAAATAACTCTATAAAATAAGAAACTTAGACAAGAGTAGAAAGATATTAATAATAAATTAAAATATTATAAATAAAACTATTTTAAGATCAAATAATTTATTTGATATTAAATAAATTATGTGATAGTCAAATGGAATTAGATATGTTGCATGGGAGTCAACAATTCTCTTTGAGGAATGAAGGATTACAATTTAATCTTATATCAACAAAGACATATCTTAGAAATCACAATTGGCATAAAGCATATTTTATATAGGCACCAAAGGATAGTGTAGTTAAAACCAAGTAAATTTATGTCCCAAACTAAAACCTTATATTATTTTTCAAGGAAATCTTTGGTAAACTATTTCATGGTGGTACTTACAAAAAGTGATCAAGACATGATTGAAAATCAAGAATAATCCTATTCATTCAGGTAAATGGATGGAGAAGAGGTAAAAGAATGTTTAGGTCCTCAATCTTAGGGAAATAGCTAACACAAATATATGTCTCATGACTGTAAAAGATGAGGAACAAATACATCTTTGAAATATAAAACTGGGACATGTCAATCTTCAAATAATTAGGAGGCTATCAAAAGATGATTTAGTTAGAGGTTTACCTAAATTCATGAACATATAATATTATACATATGAGAGTTGAATGAAAACTAGACTCAAGCCAATAAATTTTATTTGGTCTAACTAAAATTGCTAGTGTAGGAGAAAATATTAAAATTTAATTGTAGTTCTTGATTACTCCAGATACACTTGGGGATTTTTCCTATTTCAGAAGAATAAATCCGTTTAAAAAAATTTCAAAGTAAATTCTTAGTGAACTTGGAATAGTAAAAAAAAATAATATTAGGAGTCACGAGGAGGTGAATTTAAGAATATTAAAATTTAAATTTATAATAAATGAAAAACGTCTCATAAGTTATCAGCTCTAAGAACTCCTCTACAAAATGGGGTTATTAAAACAAAAAGTATGACATTATTAAACATATTAGAACTATGCTACATGGGATTCTTCTTCATAATTTATTTTTTTTGAAGCAATTAGCTGAAGTTATGTGTTTAGTAAAGTTTTGATTAGATCTATGTTAAGTAGAACACCTTATAAATAACTTAATAGTTGAAGGCTAAATATAAATTACTTAAAACTATCTACTTGCAAGTGTTTTATTTAAAGCCTATAGAAAACAATTAGAGGAAGAGAGAGAGAGAAGAGCTCCCAAGAGGAGGAGATGGACCTCCAAAGATCCTCAATATTTTACTATGACCAATGTCTCTACCCTATAGATTTTCTTCCCCTGTTAAAAATACTAAGCCTCTCTCTCCTGGCCTCACTATGCGTGTAAAGGTAGGTGAAGGAATTCTACAGGTTCTAGGAAAATTTCATCTCGAATGAGAATCCACAAGTAAAATTTATTTCTTGACCTTGTATGGACTCAACTTACATGGAAATTTCTGATGACTGTGGTATAACTTAACTTTTCATGGCACACTGCAAGTTTTAGAGAGTCATTTCATGGAGGGCTTTCTCTCCCAAGGTATAAATGGGTGGTTGTAAATACTGGGCCTCACACTACAGCCAAAATGCTCGTGTAGGTGTTTATCATTCTAGGCACAGCCTAACTAATAAATGGTAACAATCACAAAAACTTTCATTTTCCCTATGGATATCTTCACATAAGCCCTTGTTGTCTCTTCCTACACATAACATTGTCTCATGTTACAAGTATTTGTAGCCCCTTATCTTTGTTATCTTTTAAAATAACTAAAATAGAGATAAGGCAAGATAATAACTTATAGTACAAAATTTTATTACTAGATACCTCATGACTTTTTACCCCATACTAAGAGAATTTTACCCTTAGATCACAAAATCACCTCAAAATAATTTAATTTGACTAATATTGATCTAACACATTGATGTGACTTAGTTGTTGTGTATTAAATCTCACAATTAAATATTTATAAAACTTGAAAATATTAATTTTTAGATATTTAGTAGTATTTTTAAAAAAATGTATTAATTATAATTTAATAAAAGGTGTTATAAAAATAGTGAAGATTTTTCAAGTCGATCATAGGGATGTAATATAATATAGGATAATATGTAATTATTTTTTGAAAAGAATATGATTTGTTATAATATTTAGACTAAAAAATGAAGATAAAATATATCTAAAATTTACGAAAAAGAAAATAAGGGTGTAGACGTTAAGATGACGTTAGTGGCTTGACGTAAGTATTTACAAATGATTTATTCAGTCAAATTAAGATTTATAAAAGCCGAAATAATTAGAATTGCATGAAGAATATTTTCAAAATTTAAAATCACATAAAAGATTACTAAATTAAATAAAAATTAACTTAAAAGTAGAAATAATAAAATTTCAGTCTTGCAACTATAATCGATAGAATTCTGTGTTTGAGAAGATTATTGTGTAATGTGCACAACCTAAAGGCTCTCCTTAGATAAAGACAAATTGGGTAATTTCTAGGTCCTCTTGTAAAGTCTAGAAATCAATAAGATAGGTTGACGAATCATCTCTTGTAGCTATTGATGTGACTTAACTGTTATATAATAAATCATACATATTTTAATTGATAAAACTAGAAAATATTAATTTTTAGGTTTTTAAAAATATTTCAAGATAAATAAATTAATTATAATTAGATAAGAGGTTTCAAAACTAGTGAGAAATTTCTAGGTTGATTCGAAGGATGTAAAATAATATTTAATAATATTTTAACATGTTTTATAAATAATATGATTTTTTATAATTTTTAGACTAAATGATAAAGAGAAAATATATTTAAAATTCACAAAAAAGAGAAATAAGGGCATGGATGTCTAGATGATGTCACTAGTCTAACGAGTGCCAATCAGACAAAAAAACAGTTCCACCAACTGATTTTTATATAATTGATTATATATAATTTAATTGATCCAATTAAGATCTCTAAAACTCAGAGAACTATATTTGACTAAAGAAGATTTTTAAAACTTAAAAGCACATAAATTGTCACTAAATTAAACATAAATTAAGTTTGTAGTTGAAAAGGGAGAGTTCTAATCTTATAATAATGATCGTTAGAATTATGTGTGTTGAAGAAGATTATTGTGTAATGTCGAAGGCCTCAAAGGCTCTCTCTGAACAAAGCTAAGATGAGTAATCTTTAGTTCTTCTTTTGAAGTCTAGAAATCAATAAAATGGGTTGACAAATCATCTTCAGTGGCTATCACTTAGTGGAGTGAAAAAATAGAGACTTTACAGATCTCTAACAACTATCACCTAACGGAGATCAATTGTATGAAAGTAGAGTGCATCTTAAGGAGCTTCATCCTTAGGGCTACACAACAAGAGGAGACTCTTCATCACATCTAATATGCTCTCTAGAGGTGGTGACTCATTTCTCAATAGATCATTCTCTTCCTGATGATAATTTATTTGTCAATCAATCAAAGATAATTTATTAGATGGATTTGTGATCTTTTTATCTAGAATCGTTTAGCAATTGTAGTAATAATATGCTACAAATCATGTTGACAACATTTTCGTTGATGATTGAATAATTCTGGCAGCTTAATTGTTGACAACTAATTTGTAAGAAAATTATGATTTTAATTAGATAAATATATGAGTTTTGACACTGGTGGGATTCGATTCTCGCTAGTCGCCTGTCTACATAAGAGAAAGTAAAATAAGTACGTGAATACCCTTATAAAGTGACATCATAAGGGTGTCTCTTTTTCATGAATAAAGGGTAACTTAGGCATTAAAATTATTAAAAACCTTCCTAGAAGTTGTGCGCCAATTTAGTCTCACATTGATTATTTTTTGAGTTTTGAGGCATATATTTAATAACATAAGATTTTGTGATCAATAAGTCTCTCTCTCACATGTGTACGACCACTCTTTGGCCCACACTTGGCTGTCCACTAGTGACGTGAAAGGGGAATTACACACATGTGTCCCCTTACCAATCCTTAGTCACATGAGCCCCTTACTTGTGGCTCTATTAGACTGTGTTTTCGACCTGCTTGTAGGCCTAGTTGACTAGTGGGCTGATCTCTCTTAAGTCACTATTATTAAGATTGTTAATCTTAAATTTATAAACTAATTTTCATAGGAATAATTTCTTGATGAATTAGTAGAAAACCAAGTCAAACACAAGGAGAGTTTTGAATTAGTTGATGTATATTAATTAATGATCATATTCTGATTTTGTTTACTCTTTGAAATTTAGCAGCCACAAAAAAAAATTCAATACACGTTGAGAGGATGATTTTTCTCAAGGTTCAACTAGCCACCTTGTAAATAAATTATAAATAGCTAGCAAGGATGATTCCCCACTTCCTTCAATGACTTTGACTATTCATAATTGATGAGGCAAAGGAAAATAGAGTTTCACAAAATTTAGATTACATTAATTAGGATAAAAGAGGTTTAAATATATAAAAGTCAAAAGAACAAAATGAAAATAATTTCTCCCTCTTGTTCTGATGGTCATGGGGAGAGAACAGCAGCCTCACGTAGGGGCGTCTTTGGTTGATCCTCTTCTTGCTGCGCCAAAGGAAGAGACCCATTATCGTTGCTAGAGCTGTCACCATTGGAAGGGGAGGAATGGATGAGCTGGCCCACCTATGGTGTGCTGCAAGTGTTGCCAAGGGAGAGAGGAGGAGCAGGCCATCCCCACAATAGGAGATGGATGCACCAAGGGAGGAAGGAGAGAAAGAGAGAGCTGATCGTGAATGAGGAGAGGGCTGGCGGCAGCTCCCCTCTTTTGAGATTGTGTGCCCTACATTGGGCCTTCTGATTTTGCCCCTACATCCTATAAGATTTATAACTAAGTCTTCTTTACAATTTTACCTTTTCATGTTCACATATTGTATATATGCTTATGATGAACTTAGAGGATTAGAGGGAAATTATGTTCCCTTGGTTATGCATCATGGTTATAAATTCTTCTCATACTATGCATCATAATAATAAATTGATTTCCCCCTTGTCATCTATCTAGATGCTCACATTCTTGTAGAAAATAAGAAAATTATCTAATTCATGAACAAGAGTGTGAAAATATATAAGTGCTTAACATGTAATTATCATATTCCTATATTCTTTAGGCTTTAATCATTAATCATATCACCCTTTTAACATGATCATTCTGGGAATTATCACGAGTCCACCCCTTTTTTTATATTTTTATTTTATTTTATTTTCTTGATTTATCTAACTAAAAATTAACTAATTTAACACATTAGCCAACTAATTAGTCAAAAATTCACATTAACCAACCAAAATCACTTTTCATAATTTAACATAAATATAAGTTTATTTATAATAAGTTAAGACTTAAACTATATTATTAGATAATTATTAACTCATAATAATGAAGATTTATCAATTGTCACATGGTAGAACGGAAAAAGAATGCCTTTGTAAATCTTTAGCAATTGTCACTCAATGCAGATAAGCTGAATTGAGGTGGGGTGCATCTTAGGGAGCTTCACTCCGTGTAGCAAGATGAGGCTCATCTTTACATCTACTACACTCTCAGGAGGTGACGACTCATGACTCATCTCTTGATGGATCTCCTCTTCCTGATGATGGCTTGTTTGTCGATCAATCAAAGATAATTTACTTGATGGACTTGTCATCTTTTTATTTAGAATTATTTGGTAATTTTAGTAATGATGTTCCACAAATCACATTTACAATATTTTTGCTGATGATTGAGTGATTATGGTGACTTAATCATTGACCAACACTCTAGAAAAAAATTGTGATTTAATCAAATAAAAATATAAGTTTTGACTCGAATAGGATTCAAACACTCATTAGTTACTTGCCTACATGAGAGAGAGTGAAATAAACATATGAATACCCATATAAAGTTACGTCATAAAGGTATCTACTTCTCATAAATAAGGGATACTTTAGATATTAAAAATTATTGAAAACCTTCTAAGAAGTTGTGACATTTCACATCTATTATTTTTGAGTTTTGAGATGCATATATAGTAATACAAGATTTTGTTATCAATAAGTCTCTCCCTCACGTGTGTATGACCAATCCTTGCCCCATGCTTGATGACGTGACATAGTTGTTATATAGTAAATCACATAAATTTTAAATTATAAAATTAAAAAATACTAATTTTCAGATATTTAGAAGTATTTTTGAACAAATATATCAATTATAATTTAATAAAAAATCCAAAAATATTGAAAAAATTTCAAGTTGATCATGGGGATGTAATATAATATTAGGTAATTTTACAAAAGTTTTATCAAAGAATACGATTTTTTATAAATTTTAAACTAAGAAACAAAAATAAAATATATGTAAAATTCAGTAAAAAAGAAAATAAGGGTGTATACATTAGGATGACATCAGCGTCCAACAAACGCGAATTGGGTGGAAACAAAGTTCCATCTGATGATTTTTTTGTAAGTGATTATAGACAATTTAATTGGTCAAATTATGATCTATAAAAGTCGAAAAAATCGTAATTAAATGAAAAGTAGTTTAGAAAATTTAAATCATACAACGAGAGGAGCTAGATGAAGGTGGGGCGCATGTTAGGGAGCTTCATCCTCAGGTCCATATAGCAAGAGGAGGCTCTTCATCGCATCTGATACGCTCTTAGGAGGTGATGACTTGTCTTCTAGTAGATCATCCTCTTCACGACGATTGCTTGTTCGTCAATCAATCAGAGATGATTTACTCGATGAATTTGCAATCTTTTTATCACAAATTATTTAATAATTTTAGTAACAATGTTCTACAAATCATGTTGATGAGATTTTCATCGTTGATTGAGCGATTTTGGTGGCTTAATCCTTCACCAGCAATTTCAAGAAAAGTCATGATTTAATCAGATAACAATATGATTTTTGTCTCTAGTGGGATTAGAACTCGCACCGGTCGCCTGCCTACATGAGAGAGATTAAAATAAATACTCTAATACCTTTATAAAGTAACACCATCATAGTATATCACTATTATAACTAAGAGATATTTTAGGTATTAAAATAAATGAAGTCATTTTGGAGAAAGTGTGATGTGGGTTTAGTCCCACATCAGTTGTATGCTGAAGTTTTAAACGAATATATAGTAATATCAGATTTAGAAGCAATGAGTCATTTTCATGTGTGTACGACCACTCCTTGCCTCACAGTCGACTAGCCATTGGTGACATCATAGAAGAGTGGTGCACATGTGCCCTCATCGGTCCATAGTTGCTTGAACCCTTACTTGTGGCTCCACTCTAACTGTGCTTTCGACCCGCTTGTAGGCTCAAGTGCCTAACAAGTCCCCCCTTTTTTCTATTTTTTAAATTTTATTTTATTTTTCTTCATTTATCTCAAAAATAGGATTATAAAAATCATATAAACTCGTGTAAAATCACATATTTAGCTAAAAATTGTATAAATTTCTTTTTCTTCACATTATCTACTTATTTTGCAGCAAGTGTTTTTCTATAGATGATTTTCGACAATGAGAATGATGTCTCCCACCCTTCATGTTTACTCTTCGTTTTTAGATTTTTCACATTATTCTTTTTTTTTAATTTCGAAGTAAGTGATTTCTCCTCACAAGTCCTATTGACGAGGGTGTAAAAATCTCACTTAAACTTAAATGATCAATCAAATTATCATATCAAGTAAATAATATCCATCAAGATTATGAAGTGAAAATCTGTAAAATCAAATTCATGTTATCTATCATGTATCCAACAAGTATTCCAACATTTTATGCTACTAAATCATTCTTTTAACTCAATAATAATCTTCTTAGTATCTTTAGGTATCAATCAATCTAATTGATTTAGCTTTCATGCATGTAATATGATGTAAGAAATTTATAAATTAGATAGTTCTGACAATTCTATTTCTTATTTTCAGTTATGTTTTCAGCAATAATGAATTTGTCAAAAATAAATCAAAACTATCCTCTTTATAGTTGTAATTTCGAATTTTAGTACTATATGCCTAAGGGATTGAATTTTTTTTAGTTACTTTTCTAAGTGAGCATGAAAAAAAATACAAACACATGTTCTTAATCATTTTACAGCATAAATTAAGACTTAATACTTCAGCCCCCAACTTAAAATATGTCATTGTCCTCAATGACAAAGAAAAATGAGAACAAAATATGTAAAAAATATAATTTTCTAGTGAACCATGCATATATGCAAAGTTAAGTACTAAAAATATTGTCATAACTGATAAAGTTTAGAAAGACATCACCTCAACCTCTTTTTTTATTTTTCACTTCATCTTACACTCCTCCTACTACACTTTTTCAAAAAAAAAACAAATGCAGAAACAAATGCTGTGAAATCCTAAGAAAAAAATACTTGAAAAACAAATCAAAATGAAATAAAAATCATGGGTTGCCTCCCGTGCAATGCTAAATTTAATGTCTTCAGTTGGACAGCTGTTAGATCATATAAGATGATCTATGGCCATCAAAATATATTTGTATCCCATGGTAAGTTTCATGATATTCTTTTTCAGATTTAACATAAATTCATATACTTCATACACATACATTGACATACATTCAACCAAAACAAAATAGAAATTATTTTTTTTTCAAAAATAATATTTCTATTTTGAAAAGAACCTTTTCTCATTTTCACCTCGTTTTTTAAGACATTCATTCATTAATAAATACTTTCTATTAATAGACCATAAAATGTGATCAAGCCATATAATTTTCAAATTAGCTCTTACTCAATCTAATTTTTTTTCATCTAAATTACGATCTTCAATTCTTCCACTCACCCATTTCTTAATGTATTCTTTTATCTATATAATCTTCCCTTGCTCTATTTTATCTTCCATACATATTTGTTTAATTTGTGAGGTGTGAAATATTTCAAGCTTAAACTTTATTTTAATGGGCTGTGAGTTTTGAAGGATGAAAGAATTTTCTACTTTAATCTCAGATCTAATGAATTCATTAAAATTTAATTTTTTTTTCCAAAATTATCTCTATATTCATATTCATTATTTTCGTTTCTCCTCATTAGTTGAATCAACTCTTTTTCTAGCTTTTTGTTTCCCAATTCATCAAATTCTTCATCTTCCCTAGAGCTATCTTCTAATTTTGGTATATGATATGCATCATCATCCTCACTATAAATATCCACGGCTACAAAATACTGATTAGATTTATTAATTTCATCTCCTACATCTCCTAAATCAACTGATTTTTCCTCACTTGAAATCTATTTTTTCTAATTTCTGTCCTTACTCCTACTAAAATTTAGATGATTTTTCATGATCAGGTGTTGTTTCTTCATCTAAGGGCTCTTTTTTCTCATCATCTTCATTATATTCATTCATCAATTGTGAGCAATAAATGATTTTATTCAAATTTTCTGTTATTATATTTTCAGCCTTAATATTCTCATTTACTTCTAATGGCTCATCTATTTCCTTTCATAGTTGGGAATAAGGATCAAATAAAATATTCTCACTCAATGTATTCATTGTCCTAACATTTTCATTTTGTAGATTTTTTCTTAAATCTGTCCAACTAGACTGTCCTTACCGAAATCCTACTGTTGGACAATTTTTTGAATTTTCTATAGGTTGACTAGGTGGCTGTCTCTCTTCTCTCTTATTCTGAAAAGCCTCCATAAATTATTTTTTCTGTAACAACATTTGGTTCATTATTTTTGTCATCATTTGACTCATTTGCTACATCATATTCATAAAATCAGGTTGGATTTGAGAGGGTTGATTTTTCTAAAATCTATGTCCATATTTTGGATGAAATTCAAAATTTAAATTAGGTCTAAGTGCTTCTGAATTTTGAATATTATTTGGGTTTCTCTAAAAAATATTATTCCCCTAATTAGGATTATAAGAATTTGAAAAACATTTCTTATTTTTACTAAAATCGTGGGATACTTGCACATGCTATTGCTTAGACTGAAATGATTGATCAGAATTATAATATTGAAATTCGATTATTTTCATCATACATATGATAGGTACTATATATATTAAATTGAAGGTTAGGAGAATTTCTAATATTGTTAATAAGTAAATCAAGTTTTTTTAATCTTTGATCAATCTGATTAACCTTATTTCTTAAATTAGAATCATCATCATGATACAATTCATAAATTCCTATCTTCTTTTCCTTGTCATATAACTTTAAAGAGTCTTGATCTCTAGAATTTTTACTTAAATTTTCATAAAAATTGTAAATCTTATTAGTAGTTTTCTCCAGAAAAGCTCCACATATAGAATCAATTATATTTCTATGTTGTTCTAATAATTCATTATAAAAAATTCTATTAAGTTGTCACTTGGATGTAAAATGATGAGGATAGTTTCTAAGTAAATCTTTGAATTTTTCTTATGTCTCATTAAATTTGTCATGGCTTTTGAGCAAAACTCTATATATATTTTCTCATATGTTGAGTTTTTCTTAAGAGATAAATTTTTTGAAGAAAAACTTATTCTATCTTTTCAACTAGTGAATTTTCTATCTAACGTGGATAACTAATACTTAACTTTGTCCCTAAGTGTATGAGGAAATAATTTCATCTTAATAATTTCTAGTGTAACTTGAGGGAGATTAACTAAATCACAGACCATATGAAATTTTTCTAAATACTAATAAGATTCTTCTAAAGGTTATCTATAAAAATTACGGAGTATTTGACAAATTCTTGGATTTATTTTAAATTAAACAGTGGGTGCTAATAGGTCCCTAATATTAGATGTTCGTTCATATGAATCAAGAATGTAATAATTTTTCATGGCCATGGGATCATTCTAAATTTGACTTGTACTACCTTTAGGACCCATCAAAGTTGAATTTTCTTTCGAAATTTTGATTTTGAATGAAATAGTGAAAGGATTTTCTAGCCTTGGATGTAAGGATCTTCTACTATGCATAAAAAGCAATAAATTTGAAGAAAAAATTTAATAACTATTACCCTCCTTCAATATGCTCCAGTCCTTGCCTTGCTACTCTTCATTTCTTTTTTTAAAAATTTTTTTGCAAGAAGAAAATAAAATATGAGTTAACTTTTTTCGTGTACTCTAAGAGAGAAATAGAAAAATACCAAATATTATGTAATACATCCCTAGCAATGGTGCCAAAATTTGACATGACTTAATCATTGTATAGTAAATCACACAAATTTAAAATTTTTAAAATTAGAAAATCTAAATTTTTAGATATTTAGAATTATTTCTCACTAAATATATCAATTATAAATCAATAAAAGTTCTATAAACAACAAATATTTTCAAAGTCGATCACAAGGATGTAATTTTTTATTAATTTAAGACTAAAAAATAAATATAAAATTCACGAAAAAAGGAAATAAGGGTGTAGACCTCAAGATGACATTAGCGTCTGATGAATGCGAATTAGGTAGAAACGAAGCTCTATCTGATGAATCTTAAGTAAGTGATTACAGATGATTTAATTGATCAAATTAAGATTTATAAAATTCAAAAAAATTATAATTAAATGAAGAGTAATTTAGAAAATTTAAGTCACACAAATTATCTCTAAATGAAATCAAAATTAAGTTGAAGATAAGAAAACAAAGTTCTGATGTCACGGTAGTGATGTGTTGTCGATGCACTAGAATCTTGAGCATTGGAGAAGATTGTTGTGTAGTGTCTATAACATTGAAGGTTCTCATTAAATAACGATGATGTGGAGAACTCCTAGATCTTCTTGCGAAGTCTAGAAATCAATGAAATGGGTCATCGAATTGTCTCTGATGGCTGACACTCGATGGAACGGAAAGATGGTGACTTTGCGGCTATCACCCGACGAAGAGGAGCTGGATGGAGGTGGGCCATGTGTTAAGAAGCTTCATCCTCAAGTCCGCACAGCAAGAGGAAGCTCTTTATCGCATCTGGTACACTCTTTAAAGGTGGCACTTTGTCTCCCAATAGATCATCCTCTTTACGATGACGGCTTGTTCAATAATTTTAGTAATAATACTTTGAGAATCGTGCTAACGAGATTTTCGACGATGATCGAGCGATTCTGGCGACTTAATCCTTGACTGGTGATCTGTAGGAAAGTCGTGATTTAATCAGATAAAAATATGATTTTTATCTCTAGTAGGATTAGAACCTACATCAGTTGGCTGCCTATGTAAGAGAGATTGAAATAAGTACTTTTATACCTTTATAAAGTGATGTCATCATGGTATATGATTATTATAATTAAGGGGTATTTTACGTATTAAAATAAATGAAGCCATTCCAGGGAAGGTGTGATGTGAGTTTAGTCCCACATCAGTTGTACGCCAAAGTTTTAGATGAATATATAGTAATATCAAATTTAGAAGCAATGAGTCCCTTTTACGTGCATACGACCACTCCTTGCCCCACAGTCGACTGGCCATCTGTGACATGGAAGGGGAGTGGCGCACATGTGCCCCCATTGGTCCATAGCCGCTTGAGCCCCTACTCACGGCTCCACCCTGATTGTGCTTCAAACCCACTTGCGGGCTCAGCTAGCTGACAGGTCCTTCATTTTTTTTATTTTTTTTATTTTTTTTCTTTTTTTTCATTTATCTCAAAAATAAGATTATAAAAATCATAAAAATTCATGTAAAATCATATAATTAGCCAAAAAATCACATTAATCAACTAAAAATACTTTTCACAAATTAACACAAATATAAGTCTATTTATCATGAGTTAAGGTTAAAAATATATTATTTATTAACTTATGATAATGAAGACTTATCACCTAGTTGATCATCATTGATGTGGAAGGGGGGTGATGCACATGTGCCCCACCAACCCTTAACTAGTTGAGCCTACTGCTCATGGTTCTGCCTGACTATGTTACTGACCTACTTGCAGGCCTAGTTGGCCACAGGTACCTCCTTTTTTATATATTTTATTTCTCTTTATTTATCTCAAAAATATGATTATAAAAATTATATAAATACACATAAAATTACATAATTAACTAAAAAATCACATTAACTAACTAAAAACTACTTTTCATAATTTAAAATAAATATAAATCTATTTATCATGATTTAAGGCTTAAACTATATCATAATTAATTATTAACTCATGATAATGAAGACTTATTATACATCTAGAGTGTAGCTCTTGTAGTTTAAAAGTTGTAAAAGTATAAAAATAAACTACAGTCATGAGGTGACCTAGTTAGCTGATCTAAGACATACTAAAACACATCATAAATGTGTCAAATATTTTCTTTCTTTCTTTTAGTATGTGTTCTCATGTTTAAGTTCATTTTGAATTTACTAGAACTAAACTTTTCATTTAGGAATGCTTAGAAGCTCTAGAAGCAAGAAACATGAACTACAATCATGAGATGACCTAGTTAGCTAATCTAGCACATAATAAAATAAAGATGCCCTTGGTTTTGACACTTACATTGAGAAATTTAGGTAGCTGATCTAGCACATTAGTCATGAATGAGTTATTACATATTCATTCAATCATCAAAATAATCATGATTGTCTACATCACAAGTTAAATATCTTTTACAAACATTCAAATGATATATATTCATGATTGATGAATAGAATTCAATTTTTTTGTCATTAAGGTCAAAATTCTTCTCAATTAAAAAGAATATTTATATATATTACATTTGATTCGCACACTAACAATATAGATTGTGATGAATTAGATCATCTCCACAAGGAATAAGGTGAAACAATATAATGTCTAATAAGTTTTAGTGAAGGATGGAAAAGGATGAGATGACAAAGAGAAGATAGAGTATCAATGGAGAAGGATCTAATCTATTTGTAACTAGATTCTACTCTTAAGTTTTACCAAAATTTGACTCACCTTGAAATCGGCTTGATGTGCATTGCTTCCTTCTTGCTATTCCTTGCCATAAGAAAGTGCTAACTTGAGGAAGTGCGAGACATCTCATCTAGGGCAAAGTGAGGATTAAAATCTGATGAAAGACACATACATCCTTGCAATGTAGATCTTGGGAACGCCCTTCTCCCTAAGTTGATTAAAAAATCAGTGTTCTTGAAAAAAAAAGCTACCTTGGGTTAATAAGCTCCCCCAAATGTATAGGACAAAGCCCCATCTTGTGTGAGGAAAACAGTTACAGATATGTTGGTAACTTCATGCCTTCAGGTGTACTATTAACTGCTCGCCATTAGATCAACATGCCCTCAATTGGGTGTCTTCTGCCATCAGCCGTCGGATGTGCATCTAGCTAAATTTGACACTTTCTGACTACTGCACATAATGATTAGATGATTGTGCACTAGCCATCAGCTGTGTTGTGGTGCTTGTGATCCAGACCATCCAATCAATCTAAATCCTTGATCTAGCATGCCTTCCACCATCAGCCATGGGATGTGCATCTAGCTAAATTTGACACTTCCTGACTGCCACACGTAATGATCAGATGATTGTGTGCCAACCATTGGCTGTTGTATGGTGTATGTGATCTTGTCCATCTAATTGAAATAAATCTTGAAAAAATATTTAGAAAAAATCTAGACCAGATACCAAGATAGTGTTCCAATTTAAACAAATTGATTCATAGTCAAATAATTGTGAAAAAAATTCAAGAAAAAATTGAAAAATTCGAAAAATATAGATGAATCCATAGAAATAATAAAATCATGAATTTATTATGATAACATGCTAAGTAATGTCCAAAAAACCAGAATTTATTTTATTTAATGTATATTTCTAAGTCATTCCTAGCATATTACTAATGATGTTTACTACAATCCTATGGCTAATAGTGAATTCAATGAGTCACACCCTTAATATATATTTTTATGTTTGAAATAATATATCATAATATTCTTAAAATATAAGTGTAGAATAATGTGTCAACACGTGTGATAGAGTGTAACGTATATTTCTTAAAAAGTAAAGTTACCTATGAGATTCAAATGCAACACTTGAGTACTATCAAAACAAAAGTGTTAAGAGTGGAGAAGGTCTGAAAATTCAAAGGAGCATACTGTCAAATGTAAGATTTCAACTTAAGAAGCAAGCTATGCAAAAGTGAAAAATATGATGTGGAGATATTTGAATATTATACAAACCAAAGTGTTGGTGAAATTTGAAATCGAGATCAATATAGTGCCACTATGAAAAAGTGATTAAATATTAAGTGTAAAATCATAGGATTAGTGATTGAAGTAGGATTCAATCTTTGGTCCTACATGGTAGTTGAGCTAGAGCATTGACACGAAGCTATCAAGAAAGTAGAGAAGTCTTCATCATGTAACTTACATGGTGAGACATCATAGTTTTATGTGGAGAAAATGACAAAATAAAATGACTAACCTCAACTCCATGTTAAAAGTAAAATCATTCATTGAAGAGTCATGACTCTTCATAAAGAAACTTTGAAGATCATTTGTCAAAAATGTGTATACTTCAAAGCATAGAAGAACTCATGATTAGTTTCACACCCTAGATAGTAACACACCATGAGAGTTTGTAGACAAAATTACAAGCTCAATGATAATATCCAAGCTCAACTCTGAAGAAAAAGATGTTTGTTGATCCATTGAAAATTTATAATCACATTATCAAACATAAACTACATAAGGGTAGAAAGATCTGAGCTGAAGTAAGACCAAAGGTCAAAAACATTAATTTTGGACAATAACTCGTCAACAAAATAAGTGGAGTAAAGACAAACTAAATGATCTCTTCTAAATAAAACTTTGAGAGAAAATATTCGTCAATCAATTACAAATCTTCAAGCAAGATAACATGGACAATAAATGTTAGAGTGAAAAGCTTGAAATTGTAAATTAATTTATTAATGCTTGATTTTTAGTTATGACTTTATTTCATTTAAGTAGTTTATTGTTTTAATTTGTAGAAGAAAATATAGTTGTATATAGTTAATTTCGAAGGAGTTAAAAGAGTTAATATATTTCTTGTTTTTAAAAATAAAAATATTTAATATATATTATATTTATATTAATATTAAATATTATAATATGTTATATTTTATTTTATTTTAAGGGGCCATAGACAACCATCCCCATGGCCCATGGCATGTGCCTGGATTGGGGACTTGTTCCCAAAAAATAAAGTGTTATAATATATATATAACAGTTCTGCCGAAAAATCCGATGTGGGACCAATGTGTTTTTTGTTAGTTCACGATAGGTAGATCTTGTGGCACTTAGCAAACCACATTACCAAATAAGGCAGATGATAAGTCTTCATTATCATGAGTTAATAAATAGTAAATAATATAGTTTTAGCCTTAACTCGTGATAAATAGACTTATATTTGTGTTAAAGTGTGAAAAGTGGTTTTTAGTTGATTAATGTGATTTTTTGGGTAATTATGTGATTTTATACGAATTTATATGATTTTTACAGTCTTACTTTTGAGATAAATGAAGAAAAAGAAATAAAACTAAAATATTGCAAAATGGGGGGACCCGCTAGCCAGCCGGGCCTGCAAGCGGGTCGGAAGCTCAATCAGGGAGTAGCTGCGAGCAGGGGCTCAAGCGGCTTGGACCGATAGGGGCACGTGTGTGCCACTCCCCTTCCACGTCACCGGTGGCCAGCCGGCTGTGGGGCAAGGACTGGTCGTACACACGAGAGAAGGAACTTTGCTTAGAAATGTAACATTACTATATATTCGCCCGAAAAATTGGCGCACAACCGATGTGGGACTAAACCCGTGTCACACCTTCCTCAGAAGGGGCCGACAACTAGTGTGGGTTCGAATCCTCCTAGAGTCAAAATTCATATATTTTTATCTGATTATCATGACTTTCCTGCAGATTATCAGTGAAGGATTAAGCAACGAAAATCGCTGAATCATCGGCGAAAATCTCGTCAACGCGATTCGTGGAGCATTGCTACTAAAATTGCTGAACGATTCGCGATAAAAGGATCGCGAATCCATCGAGTAAATCATCTCCAATTGATCGACGAACAAGCCGTCGTCGGGAAGAGGACGATCCATTGGGAGACGAGTCACCACCTCCTGAGAGCGTACCAGATGCGATGAAGAGCCTCCTCTTGCTGCGCGGACCTGAGGATGAAGCTCCCTGACACGTGCCCCACCTCCATCCAGCTCCTTTCCGTCGGGTGACAGCCATTGGAGAGCCGCAAAGTCACCGTTTTTCTACTCCACGGGGTGACAGCTGCCGGAGACGACTCAACGACCCATTTCATTAATCTCTAGACTTCGCAAGAAGATCTAGAGATTGCCCACGTCGTCCTTGTCCAAGGAGAGCCTTCGAGGCCGTGGACACCGCACAACGATCCTCCCGAACACTCAGAATTCCAATGCATCACCGACGCATCCCGTCGCGACGTCGGAACTCTATTTTCCTACTTTTAACTTACTTTACGCTTCATTTAGTGATACTTTTTGTGTTTTTAATTTACCAAAATGTATTTTGTTCTATTACGATTCTTCCCGCTTTTACAGATCTTAATTTGATTAATTAAATCGTCTGTAATCACTTACGTAAGAATCGCTGGGTGGAACTCTGTTTCCGCCCGATTCGTGTTCGCCAGGCGCTGATGTCATCATGACATCCGCACCCTTATTTCCTTTTTTTCATGAATTTAAAATATGTTTCCTTTTCATTTCTTAGTATAAAATTCATAGAAAATAGTATTCTTTGAGGAAAATTCTGAATAATTACCAGATATTATATTACATCTCTATGATCGACCTAGAAAATTACCGCTATTTTTGGAATTTTTATGGAATTATAATTGATATATTTATTCAGAAATACTTCTAAATATCCAAAAATTCATATTTTCTAGTTTTATAAATTTTATATTTGTGTGATTTAATATACAACGATTAAGTCACATCAATAGATCTCATGGCAGGTGAACCACCATGATACCTGAAGTGTAAAGCATCCCATCAACAATTTGTGAATCTTATGTCTCTTCGCACGCATGTGACCAGAAAGAGTGATTCGATGACGAGTGAAGCACCACGATACTAGAGACTTAAGTTCTCAGTCAGCACTAGTTCGTGGTAGGTTAATCTTATGTCGCTCAATGTCACATGTGACCAAGCGCACCTAACCTAGCAACAAGTGAAGCGTCATACCTATTCTAGTTGAAAGTGAAGTGCCACGATACTAGGAACTTAAGTTCTTGCATTGATAGGATCATAGGATGTAATGAAGAATCTTCCACTCATGAAAATCAACTCAAGTCAGCAAAGGATAGACAATCAGAGGCTCAACCTTTGAGGTCACCCTTTTCAAGAAGAAGTGCCAGAATCAAGGTTCTTCCACCTTGACGAGTTCATCTCCAAGTCAACTAGTACCTTCCTCCACCCTCCCTTTGCTCTCCCCACCCTTTCATTTATTCTCATTATTATTTTATTATCTTATTCTTTCTATTTATCATTTAAACCCTTTTTTTCCTCTCTTCATTTTTTTAAAAATTATCCAAATATTTCATGGACCTCAACTACCTAACCTAGACCTCTTGTTTTCTTGAATCATCACTCATTAGAAATTCCTCAACAAGGCTTGTGGATCTCAAGCCACTAGAATCAAGAAAATCACTCCTTTGGCAAGGTACGTTGATTTCAACTCCCTTAGTGAAGTGATCATTATTTTTAAATCCTTGCTCCTTATAAGAATTGAGTGAACCATAGGTTAGCCCTCTTTGTGCCTTTTATTGGTGATTCTAACACCCTGGTTGAAATTTTATCTGAATCCTTGAATGTGCGGTTCTTCTTAGGTAATTACGATCCTAATTCTTCTAAATGAAGAGGATTAGCTTACTGATAATCTTCCTTAATTTAATCAAGCGTAATCTTAAATCCCAACCTTCTATTCGGTATTGATATTTCTCTTTGGTCTTCCCTCATTGGTATCAGAGCTAGGTTAATTACCTAACAATCTAGGATTATAAAGATTAATCTTTTTCTTTGCATTGTGCTTAGATCAACCCTCCTTAAAGATGCATACTAGGTCAGGTAATATTTATCCTCCCAAGGAAGGAGAAAACAATCACCCTATGAATGAGCCTATTGACGTGACTCAGTCGTTGTATATTAAATCACACAAATCTAAAATTTATAAAACTAGAAAATACGAATTTTCAGATATTTAGAAGTATTTCTGAACAAATATATCAATTATAATTTAATAAAACTTCCAAAAATAGCGGTAATTTTTCAGCTCAATCACAGGGATGTAATATAATATCTGGTAATTATTCAGAATTTTTCTCAATGAATACGATTTTCTATGAATTTTATACTAGGAAATGAAAAGAAAATATATTTAAAATTCACAAAAAAGGGAAATAAGGATGCAGACGTCAGGATGACATCAGCACCCGGTGAACGCGAATCGGGCAGAAACAAAGTTCTGCCCGGCGATTCTGACGTAAGTGATTACAAACGATTTAATTAATCAAATTAAGATCTGTAAAAACGAGAAGAATCGTAATTGAACAAAGTATATTTTGGTAAATTAAAAACACAAAAATTATCACTAAATGAAGCGTAAAGTAAGTTAAAAGCAGGAAAACAGAGTTCCGATGTCGCGACAGCGATGCGTCGGCGATGCACCGGAATTTTGAGTGTTTGGGAGGATCGTCGTGTAGTGTCCATGGCCTCGAAGGCTCTCCTTGGACAAGGACGACGTAGGCAATCTCTAGATCTTCTCGTGAAGTCTAGAGATTAATGAAATGGGTCGTCGAATCGTCTCCGGCGGCTGTCACCCGGCGGAGCGGAAAAACGGCGACTTTGTAGCTCTCCGGCGGCTATCACCTGACGGAGAGGAGCTGGATGGAGGTGGGGCGTGTGTTAGGGAGCTTCATCCTCAGGTCCGCGCAGCAAGAGGAGGCTCTTCATCGCATCTAATATGCTCTCAAGAGGTGACGACTCGTCTCCCGACGGATCGTCCTCTTCCCGACGACGGCTTGTTCGTCGATCAATCGGAGATGATTTACTCGATGGATTCACGATCCTTTTATCGCGAATCGTTCAATAATTTTATTAGCAATGCTCCGCGAATCACGTTGACGAGATTTTCGCCGATGATCCAGCGATTCTCGTTGCTTAATCCTTCATCGGCGATCTGCAGAAAAGTCGCAATAATCAGATAAAAATATATGAATTTTGACTCTAGGAGGATTCGAACCCGCGCCGGTTGTCCGCCCCTTCTGAGGAAGGTGTGACGCAGGTTTAATTCCACATCGGTTGTGCGCCGATTTTTCGGGCGAATATATAGTAATGTTAGCTTTCTTAGCAAAGTTCCTTCTCTCGCATGTACGACCACTCCTTGCCCCACAGTCGACTGGCCACCGGTGACGTGGAAGGGGAGTGGCACACACGTGCCCCTATCGGTCCAAGCCGCTCGAGCTCCTGCTCATAGCTACTCCCCGACTAAGCTTCCGACCCGCTTGCGGGCCCGGCTGGCCGGCGGGTCCCCCCATTTTGCAATATTTTTATTTCTATTTCTTGTTCTTCATTTATCTCAAAAGTAAGATTGTAAAAATCATATAAAATCACATAATTACCCAAAAATTCACGTTAATCAACTGAAAACCACTTTTCACACTTTAACACAAATATAAGTCTATTTATCATGAGTTAAGGCTAACACTATATTATTTACTAATTATTAACTCATGATAAAGAAGACTTATCACCTACCCCTTCTTGGGCTAAAATATTTTTAGGTAAGATAGAAAACCTTAGCCTTAAGGTCGAAGATTGCAATCAAAGGGTGTCATCTATAGAATCTCAAAGAATTTCATCTAGTAGCTCACATCCCACAACACCTACCTTAGAAAATCATAGAAATCAGTCCTTAGATGATTCTAGAAATACTAATCAAAGGAATCAAAATCGAAAATATATTAATTAAAAGCATATAAAGATTGATGTCCCTATGTATGAAGGCTCCTCTGAACCTAGAGATTATCTAAATTGGGAAGCTCATCTAGATAGTTATTTCGGTTGGTATGAGATGACTGAATCTAGAAAAATCAGATTTGCTGAATTAAAGTTATCAGGGCCTGCTAAAACCTATTGGAATAATTTAGGTAGACTCCTTGAAAGTAGGTTCCAAGAACCCATTAGCACTTGAGCAGAGATGAAAGTAAAACTTAAACAAAAATACATCCCTCCCAATTATCAATCCAAGTTAGTGGATCATCGGCAAAGACTTCAAAAAGGAAATAGGACTGCCCTTGAGTATGCCATGGAATTTGATGAGCTAATGATGTTATGTGGCCTTAGAGAGGATTCTACTCTCACCCGCTCAAGGTTTAGGACAGATCTTAGGAATGAACTTAGACAAGAAATCACTCTTAGGGATGTGAAAACTCTAGAAGAAGCATATAGGGCAGCCATTGACTTAGATTCATTTTTCAAATCTAATTCTAGACCTTTACCACCTCCACTAGGAAATCCTCGGTTCACCCCTAGAAATAATTCTCCTAACTACGTAAATCCTAGGATTGAGGATAATCAATCAGCCCTTAGAACCCCACCACCTAAGTCTAATCCACTGGTGAATAATAAAGGAAAAGAAGTAGTTGAAATATTTAAACAAAATCCTAACTGTGGAGTTTGCTTTAAGTGTAAAAAATTTGGCCATATTGCTTCTAGTTGTCTTGGTAGAAGACTCCTCTTAGAAGAAACTGAAAACACCCAAGAGGAAGAAAACAATGAAAAAAAATATGAGGAAGAAAATTATATGATAGATCATGATATAGAAGACCAAGAAGAAGTTAGGAATTTTGTTCAAGTTCTGAGAAAAATCCTTATCCAACCTTCTCATGAGGATCCACAAAGAACTTCAATTTTCTTTACATATGTCAAAGGTCCACATTTTAACAAAGTCGTTATAGATAACAGTAGTAGTGTAAATGCCATTTCTCAAGATGCCGTTAAAAGGTTGAACCTAGAAGTGCAAAGTCATCCTACTATTTATGTTGTGTCTTGGGTAAATTCCCCTTCTATTAACTTTACTAAAAGATGTCTACTTAATCTCAAAATTCTATCCTATGAAGATTAAGTTTGGTTAGATGTCTTACCTATGGATGTAGGAAGTATACTCTTAGGTAGGCCTTTGATAAGTCTTCATTATCATAAGTTAATAATTAGTAAATAATATAGTTTTAGCCTTAACTCATGATAAATAGACTTATATTTATGTTAAAGTGTGAAAAGTGGTTTTCAATTAATTAATGTGAATTTTTGGGTAATTATGTTATTTTATACAATTTTTATAGTCTTACTTTTGAGATAAATGAAGAAAAATAAATAAAAATAAAAATATAATAAAATGGGGGGGGGCTGCTAGCCAGCCGGGCCTGCAAGCGGGTCAGAAGCATAGTCAGGTAGGAGCCGCGAGTAGGGGCTCGAGCGGCTTGAACCCATGGGGACACATGTGCGCCACTCTCCTTTCACGTCACCGGTTGCCAGTCGGCTGTGGGGCAAGGAGTGGTCGTACACGTGCAAGAAAGGGACTTGATCAAAAATCTAATATTACTTTATATTCGACAGAAACTTCAGCGCACAACCGATGTGGGACTAAACCCGTGTCACCTTCCCCAAAAAGGGTGGGCAACTAAGGCGGGTTTGAATCCTCCTAGAGCCAAAACTCATATTTTTTTATCTGATTATCGCGACTTTCCTGCAGATCGCCGGTGAAGGATTAAACAACTAGAATCACTAGATCATCGACGCAAAATCTCGTCAATGCGATTCGCGAAGCATTGTTACTAAAATTGATGAACGATTCACGATAAAAGGATCGCGAATATATCAAGTAAAGCATCTCTGATTGATCGACGAACAAGTCGTGGTCAGGAAGAGGACGATCTGCCGGGAGACAAGTCGTCACCTCCTAAGAGCATACTGGATGTGATGAAGAGCCTCCTCTTGCTACGTGGACCTGAGGATGAATGATGGCGAGCGGGACCCATCTCCATCAGCTTAGGAGACACCGGCAGTTTGAGTTCAGCCTGATCGACATGCAGAGATGAAGGAGCTTGGCTTTCGCTACATGGCTTAGTCCTTTGGGACAACGACATTCCACCTCCACGACGACGATGAGCTCGAGCTCACCCTTATCTTTCTTTGTATTTTGACGTTGACTTGTTGGGCCTCGCGTTTGTGTGTTAGCGGGCCCAATTCTATGTGTGTGTGTTGTTGTTTGTGTCTCCCTTTCTTTAGGGTTTTATTGGGTCTCTCTTTGAGGCCCAATTAAAACCCTAAGGGGGTGGGACCTATGTGTCTTTCCTTTTGGGCCTCTTTTGGGGCTTATTTGGGTCTTCAACTGAGGCCCACTTAAGCACTGTAAGAGGACCCTCCTCTTTCTCCTTTTAGGGGAGCTTATTGGGTCTCTCTTTAAGAGGCCCAATAAGCCCCTTTTGTAGCCTTTTGTGGCTTATGGGCTTGAGGGCCTCAAGTGGGCCCACCTCCCCTTAGCCCACTTGTGGGCCCCATATAAGGGGAGGTAGGACCCCCCCTCAAGGGAGCGCCGCATTTTGTGAGAAATTATCGTCTTGTGAGATACCCCCTTCGTGACCTAAGATAGGGAGGGAAGGAGGGAGAGGAAGGTCGTCGATACCCCCTTCGAGGACTTCGTTCCTCGTGACGCTGCTGCCCGAGAAGTCCCGCCGCCGCCTGAGACCACCGCTGCCGCCGGCCATCTCATTGCCGCCCGGGAGGTCGCCGCCGTCACCGGACGAAACGGTCGCGGTTGCCGCTGCAACCGCCGCCGCCTCTGCTGGAACCCCGTCACGCCGTCGTGACGAAAGGGGCTCGCTTCGCCTCCCTACGAGCCGTCGCCGAGCACTCCGCCGGAGTCTCTCGACTCCTGGTTCAACTGCCGCCTCTTCCTCCGGAACTCCACCATAAACTCGCCGGGGCCGCCCTCCGCCGCTCCGCCCAGTCGCTGGCCGTTCGCCGACGAACGCCAACCTGCCACCGACGTCGGGAGAGACTCTGCTGCCGTGCCGACGAGCCAGATCCAGTCCCAGCTCCTCACAGGCCCCGCCGGAGTTTCCCGACGAATCCCCGCCGCCGTCACGCCGTTTTCAGCGCCGCTGACGCTCAGCCTTCCCGCCGAAGCGCCGCCGACGCTCGGCATTCCCGCCGAAGCGCCGCTGACGCTCGGCATTCCCGCCGAAGCGCCGCTGACGCTCGGCATTCCCGCCGAAGCGCCGCTGACGCTCGGCATTCCTGCCGAAGCGCCGCTGACGCTCGGCCTTCCCGCCGAAGCGCCGTCGACGCTCGGCATTCCGGCCGAAGCGCCGCTGACGCTCGGCCTTCCCGCCGAAGCGCCGCTGACGCTCGGCATTCCTGCCGAAGCGCCGCAGACGCCCGGCCTTCCCGCCGAAGCGCTGCCGCCGCGCTTCCCCCGCGCGCCCACCCGGCGCCACTGCCCGCGTGCCCTAGGGCACGCCGCGCGGCTGGCCGCGCGCACCCCCAAGCGTGCCCTTCGGCCCACCAGCGGGCCCACGCCCGCACCGACCGTGCCCCGCCTTTAGACGACGACTTCTGCGACGACTTCTGCGACTCTCGACCAGGACCAAACGTCGACGTTGAGCATCGCTCTTCACCAGACATCTCTGCCTTCGTCGAATCACCGCTTTGTCACGACTCGCCAGGCTACGCAGCCCAAAGGTTAGCTCTGTACCCCTCCTTACGACGTTGTGCCAGATTCGTCACCGTTCACGAGCTGCAGCCCTAGGCTACCTCACAACGACAGTTCTACTGTCTGTTCGGACGTGGATCGAGAGGGCCTTACACTTACCATCGTCTAGTGTTTCCCTGGGTTGTCCTGGCTTGATCAGTATATTGGTACGCCTGCCTGTACTCAGGTTATGTGGTTAGACCTAGAGTCTAGGGTCTCTACATCCAAACCGGATTGGTTCAACTACTTTATCCCGGGTCTTGAGTTTCATTGATTAGATATTGGGGGTTCTCGCCCTGTCCTGCATCAATGAAGCTCTTTGACACGCGCCCCACCTCCATCTAGCTCTTATCCGTCGGGTGACAGTCGTTGAAGAGCCGCAAAGTTGCCATTTTTTCGCTCCGCCGGGTGACAGCCGCCGAAGATGATTTGATGACCCATTTCATTGATCTCTAGACTTTGCAAAGAGATCTAGAGATTGCCCACGTCATCTTCGTCTAAGGAGAGCCATCGAGGCCATAGACATTGTACGACAATCCTCCCGAATGTTTAGGATTCCAGTGCATCGCCAACGCATCACTACCGCGACGTTGGAACTTTGTTTTCCTACTTTTAACTTACTTTACACTTCATTTAGTGATAATTTATATGATTTTAATTTACCACAATATACTTCTTTCAATTACGATTCTTCTAGCTTCCACAGATCTTAATTTAATTAACTAAATTATCTTTAATCGCTTACGTAAGAATCGCCGGACGGAACTCTATTTCTGCCTAATTTGCGTTCGCCAGGCATTGACGTCATCTTGACGTACGCACCCTTATTTTCCTTTTTGTGAATTTTAAATATATTTTCTTTTCATTTATTAGTATAAAATTTATAGAAAATAATATTCTTTGAGCAAAATTCTGAATAATTACCAGATATTATGTTACATCCTTGTGATCGACTTGGAAAATTACTGCTAGTTTTGGAAGTTTATTAAATTATAATTGATATATTTATTCAAAAATACTTCTAAATATTTGAAAATTCATATTTTCTAGTTTTATAAATTTTAAATTTGCGTGATTTAGTATATAACGACTAAATCACGTCAGCCTTGGTTGTACGACAGTGATGTTACAATTCAACGAAAGTCTAATGTTGATCTTTTATTTTTAAAGTTAAAAAGATAATTGTACACCCCTATGTTAAGAGTAAATCGAGTCTGTTAACAACCCCTTCGGGTCCAACTATAAATCTTATCTCTAGTTCCCATATCCACAAATAAATAAAAAACATAGAATGTCCTCTTATTGTTTTATTTTCTCTACAAGTCAACCTTAGCATTGATTCTGTAAATTTAAATCTTTCTATCTTACAACTCATCTCAAAATTCCAAGAAGTATTTCCTAATGACTTACTCAATTACTTACCTCTTATTAGAGACATTCAGCATAACATAGGTCTGCAACTCGGCTCTTCTTTACCCAATCTACCCCACTATCGAGTGAGTCTAGCTGGGCATAAAGAACTTAGAAGACAAGTTTTGTAACTTATCGAGAAAAGATTTATTCGAGAAAGTCTAAGTCTATGTCCTGTCCCAACTCTTTTAGTGCCTAAGAAAGATGGAACATGACGCATGTGTATAGATAGTTTTATCACGTGACTTAGTCGTTGTATAGTAAATCACGTAAATTTAAAATTTATAAAACTATAAAATACAAATTTTTGGATATTTAGAAGTATTTTTGAACAAATATATCAAGTATAATTCAATAAAACTTTCAAAAATCTAGTAATTATTCAGAATTTTCCTCAAAGAATACTATTTTCTATGAATTTTATACTAAGAAATGAAAAGGAAATATATTTAAAATTCACAGAAAAAGAAAATAAGGGTGCGGACGTTAGGATGATGTTAGTGCCCGGCAAATGTGAATCGGGCAGAAATAGAGTTCTGGCTGGTGATTCTTACGTAAGTGATTATAGACGATTTAATTGATCAAATTAAGATTTGTAAAAGCCAAAAAAATTGTAATAAAATGAAGTATATTGTGGTAAATTTAAAATCAATAATTTATCACTAAATGAAATAGAAATTAAGTTGAAAGCAGGAAAACAGAGTTCTGGCATCGACGATGCGTCAGCGATGCACCGGAATCCTGAGTGTTCGGGAGGATCATCATGTAGTGTCCACGGCCTCGAAGGCTCTCCTTGGACAAAGACGATGTGGGCAATCTCTAGATCTCCTTGCAAAGTCTGGAGATCAATGAAATGAGTCGTCGAATCGTCTCCAGCGGTTGTCACCCGGTAGAGCGGAAAAACGTCGACTTTGTGGCTCTCCGGCGGCTGTCACCCGATGGAGAGGAGCTAGATGGAGGTGGGGCGCGTGTCAGGGAGCTTCATCCTCAAGTCCGCGCAGCAAGAGGAGGCTCTTCATCACATCTGGTACGCTCTCAGGAGGTGGCGACTGGTCTCCTGGTGAATCGTCCTCTTCCCGACGACGGCTTGTTCGTCGATCAATCGGGGATGCTTTACTCGATGGCCGGCCGGTCCCCCCCATTTTGCTATTTTTATTTTAATTTATTTTCCTTCATTTATCTCAAAAGTAAGATTGTAAAAATCATATAAAATCGAATAAAATCACATAATTACCCAAAAATTCACGTTAATCAACTAAAAACCACTTTTCACACTTTAACACAAATATAAGTCTATTTATCATGAGTTAAGGCTAAAACTATATTATTTACTAATTATTAACTCATGATAATGAAAACTTATCACAGCCCCCAACTTAAATCATTGCTAATCCCTTAGCAATGGAATTACGAAAATAAAAATTTACAAATCTCAAACATCATATTTCAATACATAAAAAAAATACAATTAGAAATGATGCACCTTTAGACACTTTGGATTCTTATATCAAGTATTTAAGAATGATGTCAAGCACTTAAAAGTTTAAGCACTCCTTGGAATAACAATCTAGACTTCACTTCTTCTATTCACATCTTTATCACTTCTTCACTCATAGATATATTTACAAGATGTTCCAATTATCAATAATCATCCAAGAATAATATTGATCTTTCATTTTCCTTTTTCCATGGCTTGATTTTTGAAGTTTGCACTATATTTCTTCCTTCTTTTTTTTTTTTGATATATATAGTAGATAAGTAGCTTTTTCTATAGACAAATTTCGACAATAAGAATGATGTCTCACACCCTCTATGTGTACTTTTCATTTTCAGGGCTTTCACTTTATCCACTTATTTTGCAGCAAGTGTTTTTCTATACACGATTTTCGACAATGAGAATGATGTCTCATACCCTCCATGTGTACTCTTCGTTTTTAGATTTTTCACATTGCTCTCTCTCTCTTTTTCCAAAATAAGTGATTTGTCCTCACAACTACTATAGATCTAGGTGCAAAAATCTCTATTAAACTCAAATGATCAATCAAATTTTCACATCAAGTAAATACTATCCATCAAGATCATGAAGTGAAAATCTGTAAAATCAAATCCATGTTATCTATCATGTATCCAAGGAGTATTCCAACATTTCATGCTACTAGATCATTCTTTTGACTTAATAATAATCTTCCTAGTATCTTTTGGTATCAATCAATCTAATTGATTTAATTTTTCATGCATGCCATATGATATAAGAAATTTGTAAATTAGATAGTTCTGATAGTTCTGTTTTCTATTTTCAGTTCTGTTTTTAGCAACAATAAATTTATCAAAAATAAATCAAAACTATCCTTTTTATAGCTGTAATTTCGAATTTCAGTAATATATGTCTAGGGGATTGAAATGTGAGAAAGAGTCTCTAGAATTTTAAATTTTGGGCTGTTTTTTGTCTGCTATTTTTGACAGTCTGTTGTTCATGACAGAAAACCAGAAAATAGATGTTGCAATTTTTCTGAATTTTTTTTTTTTTTTTTTTTAGTTGCTGTTCTATTGCAAACACATGTTCTTAATCGTTCTACAGCATAAATTAATAATGAATACTTCACCCCCCAACTTAAAAATGACATTGTCCTCAATGACACAGAAAACTCGAAACAGAATATGCAGAAAATATAATTTTCAAGTGAAGCATGCATATATGCAAAGTTAAGCATTAAAAATATTGTCATAAATGATAAAACTCCGAAAGACATCACCTCAACCTTGTTTTTAATTTTCCACTTCGTCTTACACTCCTCCTCTTGCACTTTTTCGAAAAAACAAATACAGAAACAAGTACTGTGAAATTCTAAGTAAAACAGAGCTTAAAAAAATCAAACAAAATGAAATAAAAACCATGGGTTGCCTCTCATGCAGGGCTGAATTTAATGTCTTCAGCTGGACAGCTCTTAGATCATATAAGATGATCTATGGCCATCAAAATATATTTGTATCCCAAGATAAGTTTCATGATATTCTTTTTCAGATTTAGCATAAATTCATATACTTCATATATATACCTTGACATACTTTCAACAAAAAAAAAATGAAAATTAACAAATTTTTCCCAAAAATAATATTTCCATTTTGAAAAGAATCTTTCCTCATTTCTATCTTGTTTTTTAAGGCTCTCATTCATTAATAAATACTTTCTATTAATAGACTATAAAATGATATCAGGCCATATAATTTTCGAATTAGCTCTTACCCAATCTAGAATTTTTTCATCTAAATTGATATCTTTAATTCTTCCACTCACCCATTTCTTAATGTGTTCTTTTATCTGCATAATCTTCCCCTGCTCCATTTTATCTTCCATACATATTTGTTCAATTTACGAGGAGTGAAATATTTCAAGCTTAGAAATAATTCTAATGGGCTGTGGGTTTTGAAGGATGGAAGGATTGTCTTCTTTAATCTTAGATCTAATGAATTCAGTAAAATTGAAATTTTCTCCTTCAAAATTATCTCTATATTCATTATTTTCGTTTCTCCCCATTAGTTGAATCAACTCTTTTTCTAACTTTTCATTTCTCAACTCATCAAATTCTTCATCTTCCCAAGAGCTATCTTTTAATTTCGGTATATGATATACATCATCATCCTCACTATCAACGTCCATAGCTACAAAATTATGATTAGATTTATTAATTCTTCTCCTACATCTCCCAAATCAATTGATTTTTCCTCACCTGAAATATGTTTTTCTTCATTTCTGTCCTTACTCCCTTCTATGAAAATTTGGATGATTTTTCCATGATCAGCTGCTGTTTCTTCATCTAAGGACTCTTTCTCTTCATCATCCTCACTATATTCATTCATCAATTGTGAGTAATAAATGATTTTATTCAAGTTTTCTGCTACTAAATTTTCGGCCTTAATATTCTCATTTATTTCTAATGGCTCATCAATTTCTTCTAATAATTGAAAAAAAGGATCAGGTAAAATATTCTCACTCAATGTATTCACTAACCTAACATTTTCATTTCGGGGGTTTTTTTCTAAATTTATCCAACTAGACTCTCCTTGCTGAAATCTTACTGTTGGATAGTTTCCTGAATTTTCTATGGGCTGACTAGGTAGCTGTCCCTCTTTTCCCTTATTCCCAAGAGCCTCTATAATTTGTTTCTCGTGCAGCATCATTTGATTCATAGTTTGTTGCATTATTTGGCTCATAGTTTGTTGCATCATTTCTATAGTATCAAGTTGGGTTTGATAAGGCTGATTTTTCTAAAATCTGTTTTCTTGTTTTGGACGAAATTCAGAGTTTGAATTGGATCTAAGTGCTACTGGATTTTGAATATTATTTGGTTTTCTCCACGAAAAATTATTCCCCCAACTAGGATTATAAGAATTACAAAAATATTCTCTATTTTTACTAAAATCGTGGGGTACCTGCACTTGTTCTTGCCTATGATGATTTTGAAATTCGAAATGATCATTTTCACTATACATAGGACCTATACTGTTTGAATTAAATTGAGGGTTAAGAGGCTTTCTAATATTGTCAATAAGTAAATCAAGTTTTTTTAATCTTTGATTAATCTTATTAACCTCATTTCTTAATTTAGAATCATCATCATGATGCAATTCATAAATTCCTCTCTTCTTATCCCTGTCATATAATTCAAAAGAGGCTTGATCTCTAGAATTTTTATTTAAATTCTCATAAATACTGTAAATTTTATCAAGGGTTTTCTCCATAAAAGCTCCTCCACATATAGAATCAACCATATTTCTATGTTGTTCTAATAATCCATCATAAAAAATTCTATTGAGCTGCCACTTGGGTATTGTATGATGAGGACACATTCTAAGTAAATCTTTGAATTTTTCCCATGTCTCATGCAAAGTTTCTCCTGGTCTTTGAAAAAAACTTCATATATGTTTTCTCATATTTTGAGTTTTTCCTAAGAGATAAAATTTCAAAGAAAGGCCTATTCTATGTCTTTCCAACTAGTTAATTCTCTATTTAATGTGGATAGCCAATGACTAGCTTCATCCATAAGTGTATGAGGAAATAATTTCATCTTAATAATTTCTGGTGTAACTTGAGGGAGATTAACTAAATCACAGACCATATGAAATTTTTTTAAGTGCTGATGAGGTTCCTCTAAAGGCAATCTATGAAAATTAGGGAGCATTTGAAAAAATCCTGGATTTATTTCGAATTTAATAGTGGGTGCTAATGGGACTCTAATATTGGATGCTCTTTGAAATGAATTAGGGATATAATAATTTTTCATGGCCATAGGATTGTTCTCAGTTTGACCTATACTTCCTTTAGGATCTATCAAAATTAATTTTTTCTTTCGGATTTTTAGTTTTGAATGAAATAATGAAAGAATTTTCTAGCCTTGGATGCAAAGATCTTCTACCATGCATAAAAAATCAATAAATTCGAGGGAAAAGTTTAGTAATTGTTACCCTCCTTCAGTATGCTCTAGCCCTTGCCTTGCTTCTTTTTGTTCCCTTTTTCTTAAAAAACTTCGGCAGGAAGAAAATAAAACAAAAGTTAATTTTTTTTTTTGTGTACTTTAAGAGGAAAACAGAAAAATACTAAATATTATGCAATACATCTCCAGCAACGACGCCAAAATTTGACGTGACTTAGTTGTTGTATAGTAAATCACGTAAATTTAAAATTTATAAAACTAGAAAATATGAATTTTCAAATATTTAGAAGTATTTCTAAACAAATCTATCAATTATAATTCAATAAAATTTCAAAAGTAGCGATAATTTTCTAGGTCGATCACAGGGATGTAGTATAATATCTGATAATTATTCATAATTGTTCTCAAAGAATATTATTTTCTATGAATTTTATTCTAAGTAATGAAAAGGAAATATATTTAAAATTCACGAAAAAGGGAAATAAGGGTGCGGACGTCAAGATGACGTCAGCACCCGGCGAACGCGAATCAGGCAGAAATAGAGTTCCGCCCGACGATTCTTACGTAAGCGATTACAGAGTATTTAAGTGATCAAATTAAGATCTGTAAAAACTGAAAGAATCGTAATTGAATGAAGTATATATTAGTAAATTAAAATTACACAAATTATCACTAAATCAAGCGTAAAGTAAGTTGAAAGTAGGAAAATAGAGTTCCAGCGTCACGGTGGTAATACGTCGGTAATGCACCAGAATCTTGAGCATTTGGGAGGATCGTCGTGTGGTGTACACGGCCTCAAAGGCTCTCCTTGGACAAAGATGACGTGGGCAATCTCTAGATCTCCTTGTGAAGTCTAGAGATCAATGAAATGGGTCGTCAAATCATCTCCGGCGGCTGTCACCCAGCGGGGCAGAAAAATGATGACTTTGCTGCTCTCTAGCGGCTGTCACCCAACGGAGAAGAGCTGGATGGTGGTGGGGCACGTGTCAGTGAGCTTCATCCTCAAGTCCGCGCAGCAAGAGGAGGCTCTTCATTGCATTTGGTACATTCTCAAGAGGTGGCGACTTATCTCGTGGTGGATTGTCCTCTTCCCGACGACGACTTGTTCGTTGATCAATTGGAGATGCTTTACTTGATGGATCCTTTTATCGCGAATCATTCAGCAATTTTAGTAACAATGCTCCACAAATTGCATTGACGAGATTTTCGCCGATGATCCAGCGATTCTAGTTGCTTAATCCTTCACTGACAATCTACAGAAAAGTCGCGATAATCAGATAAAAAATATGAATTTTAGCTCTAGGAGGATTCGAACCCGCATTGGTTGTCCGCCCTTTCTAGGGAAGGTGTGACATGGGTTTAGTCCCACATCGCTTGTGCGCCGAATATTCGGGCAAATATATAGTAATGTTACATTTGGAAGCTAGTCCCTTTCTCGCGTGTGTACCACCAGTCTTTGCCCCACAGCCGGCTAGCCACCAGTGACGTGAAAGGGGAGTGGCGCACACGTGCCCCCATCGGTTCAAGCCGCTCGAGCCCCTGCTCGTGGCTCCTGCTCGATTGCGCTTCCAACCCGCTCGCGGGCCCAGCTAGCCAGCGGGTCCCCCCTATTTTGCTATTTTTATTTTAATTTCTTTTTCTTCATTTATCTCAAAAGTAAGACTATAAAAATCATATAAAATCACATAATTACCCAAAAATTCACGTTAATCAACTGAAAATTACTTTTCACACTTTAACACAAATATAAGTCTATTTATCATGAGTTAAGGCTAAAACTATATTATTTACTAATTATTAACTTATGATAATGAAGACTTATCAGATATCCCCTTAACTGTGATAATAGCGCTGCGAATTTGATTGAAAATTTGATCATTGATGAGTTTCTAGAAAATAGGGTCCTTAAAGTGATCTAGAGTGGAAATATCGTCGACATGAATCTCAGCTCAAAACATTCATTTTTCAAAGCACATTAATAAAATTATCTTCCTGAAAACCGTAATGTATTGGGCATCATAATTGAAAATTAGTTTCTCCAGCAAATTAGGGTCACTACTTACATCATATCCAGCTAACCTAGGAACGGTGCAATCAATAATGCATGTGTTTGGATCATTATAGTCGCAGTTCACCATGAAGGAAGAGATAAGACAACATGTCAAGTGCTATACAGCAAATTATACAGGTTGTATCTAGAATTTTGTTTATAACCTATTTTTCAGTTTATACACAAAAACATTGAACTGAAAATAGATATGAAGTGAAAGATAAATACCAATAGTTTCAAACGTCCAGCAATAGCGCCTCTTCAGGAGACCATGATTTCTAAGCTCTTGGGAGAGTAACAAAGATTGGGGAGAATATCTACAGTCAAAGGTTATTACAGATTCAAGTATCTAAGATTTTGAGGGATGAGGATTATGTGCTACAAATAGTATCAACGTGGATGAAAATAATCAGGAGAGAGAGTCGAATGAGAAAGGAAGAAAATGAGGCATTGACCTTGCACTATTCCATTCACTTGAGCTTGAGAAGTAAAATCATCAGGAGACTCTCTAAAAAGCCTATGAAAGAGCTCCCTCTGAGTGACTTGCTTCCCCTTCTCCATTACTTGGAAACAAAGTTTCATGACTTTTCGAACTACAATAAAAGGACTTTGAGGAAAATCTAAGTAGTGAAGCTCACGTGACTTAATAAAAGAGGATATACCAAATTTTTGTAATACTAGTGAAAACCATTATAATAGTGAAAATATAGAAACAAAAATGCAAGCCCATGATCACAATAATAATAGAAACTCAATTTCTGGATATTTATAAGAAAAAATAAAAGAGAAATCACGAAGTTATTAAGAATCTTGATGAGAACAATATTTTCACCAAACACCTCTAATCCACATCTCAATACCCTCGAGATGAGTCACACACTAGAGAGTCAACAATGGATTCTTATCTCCTTCTATAAAGACTTCATCTACAATAAAAAAGGGAGAAGATACTAAGAAAAAAAGATTAAGTTGATGAAGAGATAGAATAGAATCAAGAGAGAGAGAATTTGTCATCTATCGTACTCAACAAAAAGAGAAATACATGCCCTATTTATAGTAAATAGGAAAGATAACCACTCCCTAAAAGTAAACATTTCAATTGACAGCTGAGACTGCACATCTTAGAAGTGACGGCTGCAACGACCCTCGTTCTCTCTCTACACGACCCCCAAATGGGTCAAAAGGATTGACGTGACTATCATGTCGCTGCCCCTTTACTCCTCACACACCTCCCCAATGAGTTAGATGGGAGAGCTCTCTCGCACATCTCCCAAATAATTGAGATGAGAGAGGTTCTCTCGCACATCTCTCAAATGGGTCAGCCGTGATAGACTAACACTGTCAATAGAAAGAGAAACCAACAACGTACCAATCCTCTTTTTGCTTTGACAATATGGTGTTATGAAAATAAAAATGTCTAAATATCTATGAATAAACTTCTTGTAACTCTCTAGAACCACCATCACAGAAAAAGTGATAAAAATGTGGAATTACATCATATGAATTGCATCCCACCTAAAGATGAAGCTAATGAGATGATTTTAAACATTGATGTATTCAAACAATTTTTAGGCTTCACTACATGATAAGTCTTCATTATCATGAGTTAATAATTAGTAAATAATATAGTTTTAGCCTTAACTCATGATAAATAGACTTATATTTGTGTTAAAGTGTGAAAAGTGGTTTTCAGTTGATTAATGTGAATTTTTGGGTAATTATGTGATTTTACATGAATTTATATGATTTTTACAGTCTTGCTTTTGAGATAAATGAAGAAAAAGAAATAAAAATAAGACAAAATGAGGGGGGGACCCGCCGGCCAGCCGGGCCCGCAAGTGGGTCGAAAGCTCAGTCGGGGAGTAGCCGCGAGCAAGGGCTCGAGCGGCTTGGACCGATAGGGGCACGTGTGCACCACTCCCCTTCCACGTCACCGGTGGCTAGCCAGCTGTGGGGCAAGGAGTGGTCGTACACGCGAGAGAAAGGACTTTGTTTAGAAAGCTAACATTACTATATATTCGTATGAAAAATTGGCACACAACCGATATGGGACTAAACCCGCGTCACACCTTCCTCAGAAGGGGCGGACAACCGGTGCGGGTTCGAATCCTCCCAGAGTCAAAATTCATATATTTTTATCTGATTATCGCGACTTTCCTGCAGATCGCCGGTGAAGGATTAAGCAACGAGAATCACTAGATCATCGGCGAAAATCTCATCAATGCGATTCGCGGAGCATTGCTACTAAAATTGCTAAACGATTCGCGATAAAAGGATCGCGAATCCATCGAGTAAATCATCTCCGATTGATCGACGAACAAGCCGTCGTCAGGAAGAGGACGATCTGCCAGGAGACGAGTCGCCACCTCTTGAGAGCATACCAGATGCGATGAAAAGCCTCCTCTTGCTGCGCGGACCTGAGGATGAAGCTCCCTAACACGCGCCCCACCTCCATCCAGCTCCTCTCCGTCAGGTGACAGCCGCCAGAGAGCCGCAAAGTTGCCATTTTTTTTGCTCCGTCAGGTGACAGCCGCCAGAGACGACTCGACAACCCATTCCATTGATCTGTAGACTTCGAAAAGAGATCTAGAGATTGCCCACGTCGTCTTTGTCCAAGGAGAGTCTTTGAGGCCGTGGATACTGCACGACGATCCTCCCGAATGCTCAGGATTCCGGTGCATCGCCGATGCATCGCCGTCGCGACGCCGGAACTCTATTTTCCTGCTTTCAACTTACTTTACGCTTCATTTAGTGATAGTTTTTGTGATTTTAATTTACCAAAATATACTTTGTTCTATTACGATTCTTCCGGCTTTTATAGATCTTAATTTGATTAATTAAATCGTCTGTAATCACTTATGTAAGAATCGCCGAGCGGAACTCTATTTTTGCCCGATTCGCGTTCGCCGGGTGCTGACGTCATCCTGATGCCCGCACCCTTATTTCCCTTTTTCGTGAATTTTAAATATATTTCCTTTTCATTTCCTAGTATAAAATTCATAGAAAATCGTATTCATTGAGAAAAATTCTGAATAATTACCAGATATTATATTACATCCCTATGATCGACCTGAAAAATTACCACTATTTTTGGAAGTTTTATTGAATTATAATTGATATATTTGTTTAGAAATACTTCTAAATATCTGAAAAGTTGTATTTTCTAGTTTTATAAATTTTAGATTTGCGTGATTTAATATACAACGACTAAGTCACGTCACTACACAATCCATAGCTTCTACTTTGACCTCATTCACTTTAACCACTATATGTATTCAGATTACATGGTTAGTGTCACCACAACATCGCCAATAGCATTTCTTGGAACTGATTTCAACTCTTTTATAGTTAAGCACCCCTGTGATTACAAAAGAAAGAGACAAAGTAGATCTCGACCTTTCATTATGTGCAATCACTATGTTGTAAAACGATATCAACTACATCATTTCTGATGTCATAATACAAAAAGTATATCCTTAATTTTCAAATAAAAAAATTATTTAGGTATTTTGGTCATCTACTCCCTTTGCCAAATGTCCTAGCACTGGATCACCTATTTTCTGAATTATATCCCCATTGCTTTTATGAACCATTGCTATGAATTACACTACTAAAAATGAGGCATTAGTGAAACGATACCAAGCGACACAAATGGTAGGAAGATATAGAAAAGCTATGGAGATGAAGGAGGTAAATCAAGGACAGATGGGGGACGGTAGGCGAAGGAGATGTCAAAACTTGAGAAAGTTCAGGACCAAAACCTCTATCCTTCTATGAGGACTTGACATGGATGCCAAAGAAAGGAAAGTCAGAAATATGGAGGAAACCATCAGATGGTGGAGATAAGTTATTTATAATGAAACTCTAGAACTCACAAATTGCCATGGTGAGTTATGGATGACGTGACTTAGTCATTGTATATTAAATCACGTAAATTTCAAAATTTATAAAACTAGAAAATACGAATTATCAGATATTTAGAAGTATTTCTGAACAAATATATCAATTATAATTCAATAAAACTTTCAAAATAACGGTAATTTTCCAAGTCGATTATAAGGATGTAATATAATCTCTAGTAATTATTCAAAATTTTCCTCAAAGAATACTATTTTATATGAATTTTATACTAAGAAATGAAAAGGAAATATATTTAAAATTCATGAAAAAGGGAATAAGGGTGCAAACGTTAGGATGACGTCAACACCCGGCGAACGTGAATCAGGCGAAAATAGAGTTCTACCCGGCGATTCTTACGTAAGCAATTACAGATGAGTTAATTGATCAAATTAAGATCTGTAAAAGCCAAAAGAATCGTAATTGAACGAAGTATATTTTAGTAAATTAAAATCACAAAGATTATCACTAAATCAAGCGTAAAGTAAGTTGAAAGTAGGAAAACAGAGTTCTAGCATCGTGGTGGTGATGCGTCGGCGATGCACCAGAATCTTGAGCATTCGGGAGGATTGTCGTGCAGTGTCCCTGGCCTCAAAGGCTCTCTTTGGACAAGGACGATGTGGGCAATCTCTAGATCTCCTTGTGAAGTCTAGAGATCAATGAAATGGGTCATCGATTCATCTCCGACAGCTGTCACCCGATGGAGCAGAAAAATGGCAACTTTGTGGCTCTCTGACGGTTGTCACCCGACGGAGAGGAGCTGGATGGAGGTGGGGCGCGTGTCAGAGAGCTTCATCCTCAGGTCTGCGCAGCAAGAGGAGGCTCTTCATCGCATCTGGTATGCTCTCAAGAGGTAGCGACTCATCTCCCGGTGGATCATCCTCTTCCCAACGACGGCTTGTTCATTGATCAATCGGAGATACTTTACTCGATGGATTCACGATCCTTTTATCGCGAATCGTTCAGCAATGTTAGTAACAATGCTTTGCGAATCGTGTTGACGAGATTTTTGCCGATAATCTAGTGATTCTGGTTGCTTAATCCTTCACCGGCGATCTGTAGGAAAGTCGCGATAATCAGATAAAAAAATGAATGTTGGCTTTGGGAGGATTCGAACCCACGCCGGCTGCCTGCCCTTTTTGGGGAAGGTGACTCGGGTTTAGTCCCACATCGCTTGTGCGTCGAATGTTCGAGTGAATATATAGTAATGTTACATTTGAAGGCAAGTGACGTGACTCAGTCGCTGTATATTAAATCACGCAAATATAAAATTTATAAAACACGAATTTTTGGATATTTAGAAGTATTTCTAAATAAATATATCAATTATAATTCAAAAAAACTTCAAAAAATAGCAGTAATTTTTCAGGTCGATCACAGGGATGTAATATAATATCTGGTAATTATTCAGAATTTTTCTCAATGAATACTATTTTCTATGAATTTTATACTAGGAAATAAAAAGGAAATATATTTAAAATTCACGAAAAAAAAGGGAAATAAGGACGCGGACGTCAAGATGACATCAGCGCCCGGCGAACGCGAATCGGGCGGAAACAGAGTTCCGCTCGGCGATTCTTGCGTAAGCGATTACAAACGATTTAATTAACTAAATTAAGATCTGTAAAAGCCGGAAGAATCGTAATTGAACAAAGTATATTTTGGTAACTTAAAAACACAAAAATTATTACTAAATAAAGTGTAAAGTAAATTGAAAGAAGGAAAATAGAGTTCCGGCGTCGCGACGGCGATGCGTCGGCGATGCACCGGAATCCTGAGCATTCGGGAGGATCGTCGAGCAGTGTCCACGGCCTCGAAGGCTCTCCTTGGACAAAGACGACGTGGGCAATCTCTAGATCTTCTCACAAAGTCTAGAGATCAATGAAGTGGGTCGTCGAATCGTCTCCGGCGGCTGTCACCCAGCGGAGCGGAAAAACGGCAACTTTGCGGCTCTCCGGCAGCTGTCACCTGACGGAGAGGAGCTGGATGGAGGTGGGGCGCGTGTCAGGGAGCTTCATCCTCAGGTCCGCGCAGCAAGAGGAGGCTCTTCATCGCATCTAGTACGCTCTCAGGAGGTGGTGGCGACTCGTCTCCCGGCGGATCGTCCTCTTCCCGACGACGGCTTTTTCATTGATCAATCGGAGATAATTTACTCGATGGATTCGCGATCCTTTTATCGCGAATCGTTCAGCAATTTTAGTAGCAATGCTCCGTGAATCGCGTTGACGAGATTTTCGCCGATGATCTAGCGATTCTGGTTGCTTAATCCTTCACCAGCGATCAGCAAGAAAGTCGCGATAATCAGATAAAAAGATATGAATTTTGACTCTGGGAGGATTCGAACCCGCGCCGGTTGCCCGCCTGTGAGGAAGGTGTGACGCGGGTTTAGTCCCACATCGGTTGTGCACCGATTTTTCAGGCGAATATATAGTAATGTTAGCTTCGGAAGCAAAGTCACTTCTCTCGCGTGTACAACCACTCCTTGCCCCACAGCCGGCTGGCCATCGGTGACGTGGAAGGGGAGTGGCGCACACGTGCCCCTATCGGTCCAAGCTAAGCCACTCGAGCCCCTGCTCGCGGCTACTCCCGACTGCGCTTCTGACCCGCTTGCGGGCCCGGCTGGCCGGCGGGTCCCCCTATTTTGCAATATTTTTATTTTTATTTCTTGTTCTTCATTTATCTCAAAAGTAAGACTGTAAAAATCGTATAAAATCACATAATTACCCAAAAATTCACGTTAATCAATTGAAAACCACTTTTCACACTTTAACACAAATATAAGTCTATTTATCATGAGTTAAGGCTAAAACTATATTATTTACTAATTATTAACTCATGATAATGAAGACTTATCAGCAAGTCCTTTTCTCATATGTGCACAACCACTCCTTGCCCCACAGTTGGCTGGCCACCGGTGACATGTGATAAGTCTTCATTATCTTGAGTTAATAATTAGTGAATAATATAATTTTAGCCTTAACTAATGATAAATAGACTTATATTTGTGTTAAAGTGTGAAAAGTAGTTTTCAAGTGATTAATGTGAATTTTTGGGTAATTATGTGATTTTATACAAATTTATATGATTTTTACAATCTTACTTTTGAGATAAATGAAGAAAAACAAATAAAAATAAAAATATTACAAAATGAGGGGACCTGCCGGCCAGCTGGGCCCGCAAGCGGGTCAGAAGCACAGTCGCGGAGGAGCTGCAAGTAGGGGCTTGAGCAGCTTGGACCGATAGGGCACGTGTGCGCCACTCCCCTTCCACGTCACTGGTGGGCAGCCGGCTGTGGGGCAAGGAGTGGTTATACACGTGCGAGAAAGGGACTTGATCGGGAATGTAATATTACTTTATATTTGCTAGAAACTTCGGCGCACAACTGATGTGGGACTAAACCTGCATCACCTTCCCCAGAAAGGGTGGGCAACCGGCGGGGGTTCGAATCCTCCTAGAGCCAAAACTCATATTTTTTATCTGATTATCACAACTTTCCTGCAGATCACCGGTGAAGGATTAAGCAACCAGAATCGCTGAATCATTGGCGAAAATCTCATCAACACGATTCACAGAGCATTGTTACTAAAATTGCTGAACAATTCGTGACAAAAGGATCGCAAATCCATTGAGTAAAGTATCTTTGATTGATCGACGAACAAGCCATTGTCGGGAAGAGGACGATCCGCTGGGAGATGAGTCGCCACCTCCTGAGAGCATACTAGATGCCATGAAGAGCCTCTTCTTACTGTGTGGACTTGAGGATGAAGCTCCTTAACATGCGCCCCACCTCCATCCAGCTCTTCTCCGTCGGGTGATAGTCGTTGGAAAGCCACAAAGTTGTCATTTTTCTGCTCCGTCGGATGACAGCCGTTGGAGATGATTCGACGACCCATTTCATTGATCTTTAGACTTTGCAAGGAGATCTAAAGATCGCCCACATTGTCCTTGTCCAAGGAGAGCCTTTGAGGCTGTGGACACTGCACGACTATCCTCCCGAATGCTCAGGATTCTGGTGCATCACCGACGCACACTGCCGTGACACTGGAACTTTGTTTTCCTACTTTCAACTTAATTTCCATTTCATTTAGTGATAATTTGTTGATTTTAAATTTACCAAGATATACTTCATTTCATTACGATTCTTCCAGTTTTACAATTAAATCGTCTATAATCACTTCTGTAACAAACACCGGGTGAAATTCTATTTCCGCCCGATTCGCATTTGCCGGGCGCTGACGTCATCATGATGTCTACACCCTTATTTCCCTTTTTCATGAATTTTAAATATATTTCCTTTCATTTAATAATATAAACTTCATAGAAAATACTATTCTTTGAAAACAATTCTGAATAATTACCAAATATTGTAGATTGATCTGGAAAATTATTGCTATTTTCCCAAGTTTTATTGAATTATAATTGATATATTTGTTCAGAAATAGTTCTATATATCCAAAAATTCGTATGTTTTAGTTTTATAAATTTTAAATTTGCGTGATTTACTATACAACGATTGAGTCACGTTAAATTTTGGCGCCATTGCCGGAGATGTATTGCATAATAATTAATATTTTTCTGTTTTTCTCTTACAGTACACAAGAAAAATAAAATTAACTCTTGTTTTATTTTTTTCTTGCCGAAAATTTTTTAGAAAAAGAGAAAGAAAAGAAGCAAGGCAAGGACTGGGGCATACTGAAGGAGGGTAACAATTACTAAACTTTTCCCTCAAATTTATTGATTTTTTATGCATGGTAGAAGATCCTTGCTTCCAAGGCTAGAAAATTCTTTCATTATTTCATTCAAAACTAAAAATCCAAAAGAAAAATTAATTTTGATTGATCTTGAAGGAAGTACAGGTCAAACTGAGAACAATCCTATGGCCATGAAAAATTATTATATCCCTGATTCATTTCAAAGAACATCCAATATTAGAGTCCCATTAGAACCTACTGTTAAATTTGAAATAAATCTAGGAATTTTTCAAATGCTCCCTAATTTTCATGGATTACCTTTAGAGGAACCTCATCAGCACTTAGAAAAATTTCATATGGTCTGTGATTTAGTTAATCTCCCTCAAGTTACACCGGAAATTATTAAGATGAAATTATTTCTTCATACACTTAGGGACAAAGCTAGCCATTGGCTATCCACATTAGATAGAGAATTAACTACTTGGAAAGATATAGAATAGGCCTTTCTTCGAAAAATTTATCCCTTAGTAAAAACTCAAAATATGAGAAAATATATATGGAGTTTTTCTCAAAGACCAGGAGAAACTTTACATGAGACATGAGAAAAATTCAAAGATTTACTTAGAAAGTGTCCTCATCATGCTATACCTATGTGGCAGCTCAATAAAAATTTTTATCATGGATTATTAGAACAACATAGAAATATGGTTGATTCTATATGTGGAGGAGTGATAAGTCATCATTATCATGAGTTAATAATTAGTAAATAATATAGTTTTAGCCTTAACTCATGATAAATAGACCTATATTTGTGTTAAAGTGTGAAAAGTGGTTTTCACTTGATTAATGTGAATTTTTAGGTAATTATGTGATTTTACATGAATTTATATGATTTTTATAGTCTTGCTTTTGAGATAAATGAAGAAAAAGAAATAAAAAATAAAAATAAGACAAAATGAGGGGGACCCACCGGTCAAGCGGGTCAGAAGCTCAGTCGGGGAGTAGCCGCGAGTACTCCCCTTCCACGTCACCGGTGGCCAGCCGACTGTGGGGCAAGGAGTGGTTGTACACCCGAGAGAAGGAACTTTGCTTTGAAAGCTAACATTACTATATATTCGCCCGAAAAGTCGGCGCACAACCGATGTGGGACTAAACCCATCACACCTTCCTCAGAAGGGGCGGACAACCGGCACGGGTTCGAATCCTCCTAGAGTTAAAATTCATATATTTTTATCTGATTATCGTGACTTTCCTGCAGATTGCCGGTGAAGGATTAAGCAACGAGAATTGCTGGATCATCGGCGAAAATCTCATCAACACGATTCACGGAGCATTGCTACTAAAATTGCTGAACGATTCGCGATAAAAGAATCACGAATCCATCGAGTAAATCATCTCCGATTGATCGACGAACAAGCCGTCATCGAGAAGAGGATGATCTGCTGGGAGACGAGTCGCCACCTCTTGAGAGCGTACCAGATGCGATGAAGAGCCTCCTCTTGCTGTGCGGACTTGAGGATGAAGCTCCTTGACACGCGCCCCACCTCCATCCAGCTCTTCTCCGTCGGGTGACAGCCGCCGGAGAGCCGGAAAGTCGCCGTTTTTCCGCTCTGCCGGGTGACAGCTGCCGGAGAGCCGGAAAGTCGCTGTTTTTCCGCTTTAACGGGTGACAGCCGCCGGAGACGATTCGACGACCCATTTCATTAATCACTAGACTTTGCGAGAAGATCTAGAGATTGCCCACGTCGTCCTTGTCTAAAGAGAGCCTTTGAGGCCATGGATACTGCACGACGATCCTCCCAAACACTCAAAATTCCGGTGCATCGCCGACGCATCGCCGTCGTGACGTCGGAACTCTGTTTTCTTGCTTTTAACTTACTTTACGCTTCATTTAGTGATAATTTTTGTGTTTTTAATTTACCAAAATATACTTTTTTCAATTACGATTCTTCGAGCTTTTACAAATCTTAATTTGATTAATTAAATCGTCTGTAATCGCTTACGTAAGAATCGCCGAGCGGAACTCTGTTTCTGCCCGATTCGCATTCGCCGGGCGCTGATGTCATCCTGACGTCTGCACCCTTATTTTCCTTTTTCATGAATTTTAAATATATTTCCTTTTCATTTCCTAGTATAAAATTCAGAGAAAATTTTATTCATTGAGAAAAATTTTAAATAACTACCAGATATTATATTACATCCCTGTGATCGACCTAGAAAATTAATGCTATTTTTGGAAGTTTTATTGAATTATAATTGATATATTTATTCAGAAATACTTCTAAATATCTGAAAAGTCGTATTTTCTAGTTTTATAAATTTTCGATTTGTGTTATTTAATATACAACGACTGAGTCACGTCAAGACCCAAATAATATTCAAAATCTAGAAGCACTTAGACCTAATTTAAACTCTGAATTTCATCCAAAACAAGAAAATAGATTTCAAAAAAATCAGCCCTCTCAAACCGAACCTGATACTATGGAAATGATGCAGTAAATGAGCCAAATGATGTAACAAATTATGAATCAAATGATGCTACACCAAAAACAAATTATAGAGGCTCTTAGGAATCAGAGAGAAGAGGGACAACTACCTAGTCAGCCCATAGAAAATCCAGGGAACCACCCAACAATAGGATTGCAGCAAGGGGAGTCTAGTAGCATGAATCTAGGAAAAAACCAATGAAATGAAAATATTAGGATAGTGAATACATTAAGGAGTGGTAAGATCTTACCTGATCCTTATTTCCAATTATTAGAAGAAATCGATGAGCCATTAGAAGTAAATAAGAATATTAAGGCTGAAAATATAGTAGTAGAAAATTTGAATAAAATTATTTATTGCTCACAATTGATGAATGAAT